ACCATGGCTCTGGGTCTAAAAGACCTCAAAGTATACTTATTGATCAAAATCATCACCAAAGAAAGAGTCCAATAGGCAAGAGAGGTGTGAGGCCAGGCACAGCCACCTAAAGAAAGAGTAAACTCTTCTCGGCAGACTTTGTAGGTAAGATCTCTAAGACTTCAAAATTACTCACAGACTCTCCTTCATAGAACAATGTACTAAACCTGCTGGGGCCTTGATTCACCCCATGTCTTCGTCCTAATGCAGTTCTCACTGAGCAGCCATCTTTATGTGACTTATCATGCAAGTCTATCTTAGGGAGAGAAGGCACCAACCATACAGTCTAGCACTTGTTATGCAACCACAGATGTTAAATGAGCCACCAGTCAAGTGCTCCGCCTTGTCCTAGGCAATAGAGATACTGGAGAGTCAGGCATTTGAGGTCTTTGGGGAAAATAAGTAAACAAGTGGTATAACAATTGAAGCTTGTGATAAGAACCATTTAAAAAAAAATAAAAGTGGGCAAAACACTAGATAACGGCTAGGAGAGAGACTGGATATTTTAATAACAGAGCTCAGAAGATACTTATTTGAAAAAGTGACTGTTAGTATAAGACCATAGGCAGACCTACCCTAAGCACTTTCGAAAAGCATTTTTCAACTAAGTTTTTTGTGTTTTGTTGTTGTTGTTGTTGTTGTTGTTTTACAGAGCTATACATTGGTGTGATGGTAGAAAAGACCATGTTGAAAAGACATAGGACAAGAATGTGACAATAAGTATGAGACAAAGGGACAAGTTAGATAAGGGCAGCTGCTTTTTTTGTTTGCTCTTCAACCAACACAGGTCTTACCTCCTCACTCTCACCCACTGTCTAATCCTCTTCCAGGCATGGCTGTTCCTCTGACTAATAGCTTGGTGAGGATCTAGATTCTTCCAGCCAAAAAAAAAAAGGGAAGGGAGTTTCTAGGCAGAGGCAATAGGAAAAGCTGTGAGGCAAGAACCTATCATTTGTTTGGAATTTCCAGTGCACCTGGAGCTTTATCACCAAGGGAGAAAGTAACAGGAGCCAAGGCCGGAGAAGCAGGCAAAGTCATAGACTTGGGAAAAAAAATTTTTATTACAAATCCAGTAAGAAGCAAGGGAATGACATGCCCTAAATTAAATTTTTAAAGATCTCATCAGCTACAGTGTGGATAACAAACTGGTAAAGATACCAATGGAAGCAAGGAGAAACAGCACTTTAAAGGTAGCCAGGCAAGCAGGGATATGGCTTGTCTCAGGGCAACAGCAGTAGTGCTGGAGAGCAGTGGATGGCTCAGAGCACATGTTGGAGACAAATTCCTAGCTTGTTTCTTCAGACCCCATTCATTTCACTGGTTCACTCCTCCAAGTGATCCCAAGAGTGAGGATGAGTGCCAAGCTGAAGCCAGGAGCCAAGAACTCAATCTGGGTCTTCTGTGTGTGTGTGTCAGGGACCCAATTACTTGAGCTGTTACCTGCTGCCTTCCAGGCTATGTATTATCAGGAGGCTGAACTCAGGAGTGGAGCCAGAACTGAAGCCCAGGCAGTCTGGTGTGGGATGAAGACATCCACACCCCACACAACCATGCACCAAATGCCTGCCCTAGGACTTCTTGGCAGACATGCAAGGAGTATTGAAAAAGTTCATGGAAAAGGCACTTTATGAAAAAATGGTGGATTCTAAAATTTTTACACCAAAAGAAATATCTTTTCATTCCATTTGCCATGAACTTTTTAAAGTATACTCACATATATAGGGTAGAGAGTCCTGCTTTGGCTTAGCAAAGATTGGTACCTTTTACTGAAATTGGGAATATGGCAGTGGGGGAAGGATTAAGAGCTATTCAGTGGGCATATTCAGTTTGTGATATTCAAAAGACACAAGTGGAGATATCTTTTGAGTATGCTCCTCACATTGGGAAAACATGGGGATGGATACATAAACTATCTGTGCCTAGGTGACCTCTAAGGTCAAGAGCTTTCCATCCCTGTGATGGTTATTTTTCATCATAAATAATCAGCTTAATGGGAGTCAAGCTGAAAACCCAAAGGCCCTCTGCTTTGCCACAGGCCGCCACTGAGAGCTGTTTCTACAAGGTTGATTTGTTGTACTTCCACATAGAAGGCACTGTGTCCAAGTTCCTTTACATTCTAATGGATCAATGTGGAAATCTGACAAGGTCACATCTATTTGTAAATGTTTTGAAAAAATTCATCAAAGTGTTTATTTGATTGAAAAAAGAAGTACTATAAAAGTACAGGAGAGATTTTAAGTAGGTTGAGATAAAGCTAAAACCTCATGTAGACTGCTGTAGAGGCCACATCTTTTTAACTTTGGGTTCAAGTGCAAGGTCTCTGTTACTACAGAATATCTGAGAACATTACAGAGAACGTTGGGTTGGTTAAGTCACGTGATGAAGCCAGCACCAAAAAAAAATCAATAAAGATTCTAGAACCAGATGAAGTTGGACAATTTCAGTTTATCCCTCAGCAGTCAGGATCTAGTAGTTCTGTGTGGTTACTGTGTTTTCTCACACCCACCTGTGCCTCCCTTCTCAGCAAGGAGGACAGAACACACCATGGGGTGGAGCTGACAGAGGCAGCTGTGAAATGCCTTTTGACCAGAGCGAGGTCAAATGAGCAGTTCCAACAAGAAAACAGACTACCTTACACATGATTTCCCAAACAAAATTTCATACTCAATGGAATTTTCAATTTATTGATATAATAGATACATTGCTGATATACTTAATTGACCCATTAATGTTTTTAACAGCCATTAGCAGCATTCTCAGTTTTTTTGTTTGTTTGTTTGTTTTGGTCAGGCAGAGTGGACAGTGAGAGAGAGAGACAGAGAGAAAGGTCTTCTTTTGCCATTGGTTCACCCTCCAATGGCTGCTGCGGCGGGCACTGATCCGAAGCCAGGAGCCAGGTGCTTCTCCTGGTCTCCCATGCGGGTACAGGGCCCAAGGACTTAGACCATCCTCCACTGCACTCCCGGGCCACAGCAGAGAGCTGGACTGGAAGAGGAGCAACCGGGACAGAATCTGGTGCCCCGATTGGGACTAGAACCCGGTGTGCCGGCGCCGCAGGTGGAGGATTAGCCTATTGAGCTGTGGTGCTGGCCCCTCAGTTGAGTTTTCTAAAGATATTTCCATTTAGCCCCCATTCTCCTTTACAGTTACTCACCTTTCTGTGTAAAGCTGAAAGGTTCTCAGGCCGGCGCTGTGGCACAGTGGGTTAAAGCCCTGGCCTGAAGTGCAGGCAACCCATATGGGTAGCAGTTTGAGTCCTGGATGTTCCACTTCTGATCCCGCTCCCTGATAATGTGCCTGAAAGCAGCAGAGGATGACCCAAGTCCTTGGGCCCCTGCACCCACGTGGGAGACCCAGAAGTTCCTGGCTCCTGATCGGCTCAGCTCTGGTCACTGCAGCCATTTGGGGGGCAAAGCAGCGGCTAGAAAACCTCTCTGTGTCTCTCTTTCTCATCTCTTTCAAATAAATAAAACTAAACCTTTAAAAATATATAAATACATAAATATAGATAGATTCTGGAGAGCGACGGCTTTTCTTACAAACCCATCTCTACATCTACTTAATCTACTTAGGAGAGACACATTAGCATTGGAGGAGATGAGAAAGGGGAGGGGGCGACACAAGCTTCCTAACGTCTACTTCACTCCAACCCCAAAGAGCTGGAGAGCTGCTCCTCTGATGCAGAACCCTGTTTCAGAGACTCGGTCCCATCATCCCTTGCTACCACAGCAGGAAGCTGGCCGGGCCTCACGGTCTGCTGAAGCTGCTTCCTAGCCATCTCTGTAACCCTTGTATACCTTCTTCCCAAGACAGAAGGAGCCTGCAGGCCTGCTCAAGGCAGAAGCCCAGCTACCTTTGGCTCTCTGGCCCTTTGGTGCTCTCTCTCCCCCAGACCCTTCTCTCCCACTCCTGCCCACCAACATGCTCTCAAACATTCTAGAGCAGCAGCAGGGTCCAGAACCTGTTAAAGCAGCTGAGAAGGCTGAGGTAGTGCCCGCTCTAGGCCCTGGGAGACAGGTTCTCCTTCACCGCTTATCTTTTCCTCTCTGCCAGTGGTTGCCTGCTATCTGTCATTTAAGTGTTAAAACATCCAAGCATCTACTTAAGTCTTTTGTTTCAGGTCATTTAGGATGAATTAGCTCTGCAAAAGCCATTTTCCTTAGAATTCCATGTACCTGACTAGAAACTTACACTCCAGTTTGGAATTAACACACTGATTGATTATAAATCTACCTCACTTTGCCGGTCAATGACCTGAGCACTATTTCACTCAAGGACCTGGGAGAGAGGAGTGGCTACAGCAGAGCAAGATTCACAGCTCTGTGAGGTCCCCAGGCCAAAAACTATTAATAGCACTCTACTGGTGCTTTCAGATTGCCAACAGTCAGACATTTTGAGGGCCCTAGACTTTTTGTAAATGTTTGAACGGCGGATGAGTTGTCATAAAAGCACCGTAGTTCTGTGTGATGCATTGTACCTGGATGAAAGGATCCTTTTTAAAAGGAGCCCATTGCCCTTCCCCACCACGCCAGAATCCATCGTCGGGCACAAAGGCAGCATCGGCTTCAACAGAGGGTAACAATCACACACAGGCTCACAGTCACATCTCAGCTTGATGTTTTACCTATGAGAGTCTTCTATTAAACCCTTTGCATCAGTTCTTAAAACGCTTTTGTTCTTTATATCTGATAGCTATGGACATCGCATAAAAATGCCTCTCCCTTTCCTCACTCCTTTGAACTATCCCCAAAGCTAATGTTACACTGAATAATCAGCATATGAAGCAAAATCAGAAAAGTATTCCACCCCTGTTTATCCACAAAGATAATGGCTTCATACCTGTTACCATGGTTTTCTTCCTAGACATTTCCTCACTGGGAATTAGAGAACTCAGCTCCAGATGTCACAGCCTCTCTCAGACTTCTGTCCTGGGAGAAGCTGAGCCCAAAGACCTGCCTTACCTTTAGTTGCACTAGGTGCACATCCACGTGCTTGCTGTCCGAGTCCTGCTGCACTGAATAGGTTAGGTCCCGGACCCTCTCTGAGGTCATCCGCAGCCAGGTCTCAATTTCAGGTAAGTGGAGGACAATCTTCCAGTCAGCCCCTGTATGTAGTGGGGGTGGCTTTTCGTACTGCTGGTCGGAATCTGTGTCCTTCATGGCCTCTTCTCCCTCACCCTGCTCCACGGTGGGTGTCATGTTGATGGCCATGGGTGAAGCATCAGTAGCCATGGGATCCAGGTCTTGTGACCTCAGGGGGGAAAGTGTCACGCTCATGGTTAACATGGAGAAGTCTAAATCTTACTTCTTTCCAAAACAGCTGAAAGGCAAGAGGAAAGAAGAAAGTGAGTCAGACAAGATTGCCAAATAAAGAAATGATAGTTCACAGAAGAAAAAGGATTTCTAAATTAAGCCAGATTTCTAAATTAAGAAACTGTAGTTTGTAACAAAAACAAGAAGTTTTGATTTTCTGTATGGTGGCCCCAAGATCCAGCATATGCTAGGAACACAGAATCCTAGTGGAATTATCCACCCAAACATCTATCTCCCCTCTTCCTTAGTAACAAAATCATGATTTTTTATAACTGTGCATTTTCCTGCACATAATCTAAAACTAAGTTCATCTCCTTTCCAGCTACAAGTGGCTGTGTGACTAAGTTCAGCCAATGAAATGGAAGTGGAATTGCTATGTAGAAATTCTGAGACCTGACTCAGGAAGGGCCCCCTCTTTGCCCTTCTGCTTTTGCTCTTCCTTCCAGACTATAATATGGACTTGATGGATGGAGCTCCAGCTGCCAGCTCAGACCCAGAGATGCTTCTGAGTATGCTGGGTAGAGGACAGTGGAATACAGAGGAAGGAATGTGATAATGAGAAATTACTTTATTAGTCCTGACTGCTGTCCTGGACTTCTTTTATGTGAGAAAAACTTCATGATTATTTGAAATTTTTCTACCATAAGTATCCACACATCATTTTGACTATAACCAATATATTCAATACTTAAACTAGCTGGACAGTGAAGATATTCTAATTCTAAAAAACAGTGTGCTAACTTCAGGAGATACTGCTGCTTTCCATGATTTATTAGGAAAACAGATACCATGTGGGGATTCCAACTCTTGACTTTCCTGAAAAGTATAAATCATATTCAATAGATATAATTAACTCTCACCCTAAATTACACTGATATTTGATTATATTGCATTTTTAAGAGGCTTCTGGAATTTCAGGAGTAATAAATTGCCCTGAAATGCCTCACAATAGAATTTAATCAAATATGTGAAAACAACCTAAGTGTGTCAAGATAAAGGTGGCTTTTTAAGATACAGTTGATTAATTTACTAATCCTATAGCTACTAAATTTATCTTTCTTCTGGAACCCATCTAGTATAAAGTAACAAACTTTTGGCTCATGTTCTTTAAAAATAAGCATTTTAAAACAGATAATTTTTAGCCTTAGGAGCAGTTTTTCTATCCAAAACAAAGAATTTCTGTTTCTATTAGACTTCTCTGGCTCTACACACTCAAGTTAGTTTCTACCCTATTTTTCCAAAGATGAGAAAGGTGTCTCACTGAAAGATCAGAAATTAAATATGATAGTCAAAAGTAACTTAAACACAAGCAGCAAAAATCAAAAACAAATAGGATATCAAACCAAGAAGCTTCTGCATAGCAAAAGAAACAACCTGCAAACTGAGGAGACACCTGTAAAATGGGAGAAAAATAAATATGCAAGCTATTCATCTCACATCGGATTAAAGTGAAGGATAAATAAAAAATTCAAATGACTCAGCAGGAAACATGACAGTGGTTTCATTTAAAAATGGGCAAATATTATGAATAGACAGTTCTGAAAGAAGACACACAAATGACAGATATATGAAAACATGCTCAACATCAGGAATCATCTGGGAAACACAAATGAAAACCATAATGAGATAGCATCTCACCCAGTCAGATGGTTTATCAAAAGGATAAAAACTAATAATTGTCGGTGAGGATACAGACAAAGGAAAATTCTCTGGCATCCTGTAGGTAGGAATGCAAATCAATGCAGGTATTTTGGAAAATAGTGTGGAAGTTCCCCAAAAAAACTGAAACAGAACCACCACGTGATACAGCTATCCCACTGCTGGGTACATATCCAAGGAAATGGAGTCACTTTACAAGATACTTCTGCACTCCCAGATTTATTGAAACTCTACTCAGAAAAACCAAATGACCTAAAAAATGGGGGTGGCGGGGAGGCAGATCAAGAAAGTTCCTAATTTTACCAGGAACATGTAAATTTCCAAACAGGAATGGGCACAGGGAATAAAAAGACATACTGAATTTACAAAAGTCTTAACAATAAGTTATTTCTATCATTTTAAAATCCTTCCAATACAGTAGTGTAAACTCATTCCCTAATTTCTTAAGTATCTAATTTTTAAAATAAATGATCAGGTTTACAATCCTACTAGGCCTGGCTATTTTTAATAATGAAGTTTCCCTGAGAGGGATAGAATTCCAAGAAAAGTGTGTTACCCTGACACTTCTTCCTAAACCATATCCCAGCCTCAGGTAAGCTCTGATTCTGATTTCCTAAAACAATTTTAAATTATTTATCAATTCACTGTGCTCTGGGACATCAGTTTAGAATCACAATCCTAGAGAAAGAATCTGATACACAAAGGTTAATAAAGGTTTCTAGTTCAAGGACATAGAACTGGTTAGAAATAAAGACAACACTGGTGTCACAGAGGTTCCCTGTTCCAAAAAACTAGATTGACTGGCACCAGAATTCTAAAAGGCCAGGGTGATGAATAATGAATGGTTAGGCAACACCTACACACACTCACTTGTCCCTAGATCCCTGCCCAAGAGCTCTACAAAACTAAAAAAAAGGTGCTTGGTCATTGTGTTTTCTCTGAAATTCCCAAATCAAGGCAGGGCCTTCTTTGAAACACACATCCTACTACAAATATAGAACTTTCCAGCCTACCATAAACTGAAGAATCAGCTCAAGGCAATTTATGTCCTGTCCCATGTTTCCATATATACCCATCAGGCTGGGTACCAAGTAAGTGCAGTACAGTTTTATGTGACTTGGGGCAAAATGCTCCACTTTCATAGGTTTCAGTTTCTCATATGTAGAATAACAATGCTAAACTACATGATCAGTAAGATCCCAACTAATCCTAAGAATTTGTAATTGCCTAGAGTAATTTATTCAGAGATCTCAAAGCGTTTGGAAGCTTCCTGCCTAGAATGAGTGCAGGGACACTATTGAATGATAGCCCTTCATTTTATCAAAGTACACAAACAGTATCAACAGACTTGTCCTGTATAAAGCAAAGAAATAAATTATCATCATGACAGAAAGCGCTTTGTAAATCGCTGCTTACACATTAGATGTTGCCAATTCTTCCCTGAGGAACAGACATGGGAGATTCCCCTCCTGGGTATTTACCACTTAAGAAGAACAACATACATGTAGTTATATGTGTGGGGGACACACAGAATGAAATATACGAAACAAAAATGTAGCTAGAGAGGACGATGAGTAACAGGCATAGAAGCTTGATATTCAACTTGCTAAGGCAAAATTTTCCTGCATCTGAAAAACTTCAACCTGGATGCCATGTCTCCACATTTAACTGATAAGACTCTCAACAAGATAAGTTCTATAACCCAGAGAAGTAAAGCAAAGCAAAGCTTTACTCAAACTTCATTTTATCTTTTGTCTGTTTACTTTCCCTCACATATAACTTTGTCACTAAGAGAAGGAATGCTGTATTTGTCATAATAGCATAGCAAGCCTGGAAAGTGGCATAAAATGAATTATACCCAGTTTAAAAGAAATTACTGTTAACATTTGATTTTCAATTCTAGTAGATCACATTTAAATGTGGCACCCATGGATGCCCACATGTTCTTTCTGATCTTCCGAAAATCAGAGCTGACTTGTAAGATAAACTCATAATTCAAAAGAAAGATGCCCTGGAATGTGGAGACTTATAAATCTTTGTGTATATTTTCCTGTTCTTATCATGACGATTCAAGCTTGCTTCCCCAAATTATTCCATTTGAATGCAAACAGTGGGAAATTCAGCACAAGTCCGTATTTCTAAATACTGTAAGTTTTGTATCCTTCCCCTACAAGTCATTGTGCCAATAAGATTCCTTTCTAGTCACAAAGAAATTAAAAAAAAAAATTAGACAACTTCTGATCATGCAAATGAAAGCGTCGGGCAAAGCACCCACACGTACCCACCAAACTACAATTCCGGCTCCAAGACAGCGTGACAGGAATGACCCACCAGTCGTTTGGAACCCAGTGACCTCCTCCTCTCCTCCCTCCCATTCAGTGCCTGTCTGTGGCCACCTTTCTAGCATTAGAGATAATGCCACCTTTATCCCAGCTGCTGTTAAAAATAACATCCATCAAATCCTTTCCTTTGCACAAATCCAAAGAGGAGGCAATATTTAAATTGCAAAAGCTGAAAGCAGTATGATTTTGGAGTTCTTTCTTAATCTGTGGGAGTGTTCCCCCTCTCCCTATCTTATTCCATTTATCATCCTTTAGAAACAGAAGAAAACATACCATGGATTGCTTATTAACAAGGACTGGTTCTGCTATCTCCCTGACAGTCCACAAGTTGACGTTAGCAGAATGCATTTGACTTGAATAAATAGATGCAATTAAACCGGGTGAGTGTTCTCTGGCCAAATCAGGAGGAAAAAGAATCCAGCTACGTAGCCATCTAAACTGCCCATCTCTTTCTCCTTCTCCTTTAGTGTTCTCTCAAATAAAAGAACAGAAAAGCCGGTATGTGCCGACTATACTCACTGTAAATGCTTTTGTTCCTAATGGCCTCAGGATTAAGCCTCTGGCTCCTCCTTCTCTCCCCCTCCCCTGCTTCTCTTCTTGTAGCCAAACAAGATAAAGGCCAGGGTGGGGACTGCTCCATGCCAGTAGGGCACTAGCTCTGTATGCCCCTAGTGGCCTTGATTTCTTGCTGAGGGCTGCCACACAGCCCCTATTTGGAAGCTAACGTGTAAGTTCCAGGACTGTGCAGTTAGAGACAGGCCTTTTGTAAACAAGAAAGGATAGATGAGCTGAGAAAAAGGAGACAGTTGCTAAAACCAGGATCATTATGGAAAAGTGTTTGGTGGACACAGAACACCTAGTCACTGGTCAGAAGACCAAGACCATACTCACAAAACCAAGCAATCTGAAGGAAGGATAAATTAATAGTACTGTGTTAAAACGACCAGCTGACAGAGCAGATCGGATCTACATAGATTTAAGCTCTTTCTCTTTTCTCGGGAAGAAA